TACGACTGTTTACTTAGGAAGGGCCCAGGGCAGCGAGAGCAGGAAGAGACGCTGGAGGCTCCCAGCTATAGACACACACACACTGTACAAACACACACCCGCCGTCCTGAGAGAGAAGAGGAAATAAAAGAAACTTTATTGTTACTATGTAGGAAGAGCGCCAGCCATCAGAGAGGTGGAAGTATTAAATCACAGCAGGAAGTGTGGGGGAATCTTACAGTTGTCACCAGAACGTGTGTCACCCCCACATAGATTCATACTGCACCATAGAGAGGGAGCAGCGGTGGTCAGCTAACTAACCCCCGGAGCCGACAAAACTCCATTCTGATTGGTCAATGTTCTTCCATCAGCCGGTCCATCTGTGCTACACAACCCGACTTCTCTTCTATATAGACAACTGACCTCCGTCCTCCTCTTCAGTCTTCTATCTGACCTCCGTCCTCCCCTCCAGTCTTCTATCTGACCTCCGTCCTCCCCTCCAGTCTTCTATCTGACCTCCGTCCTCCCTTTCAGTCTTCTATCTGACCTCCGTCCTTCCCTTCAGTCTTCTATCTGACCTCCGTCCTCCCCTCCAGTCTTCTATCTGACCTCCGTCCTCAGCAATTTGCACAGTTGCATTCAATGTATATATAGGTCAGCTGCGGATTTTCTTTCCCTTTGATCCGGAGTTTCACTTTAAAATGCAGCCGAATCCCTCCATATTCCGGAAGGTTCTCTCCCCCTGCAGAGTAATCAGCGCGGAGGAAAATATTCGCCGTCGTCAAAGTGCTGATCAAAGTCGAGTCATCTGCGGCTCCACATGGTTTCCGTACAGTACGCCGAGAGACTAAAACATTTCCATGTGCAGCGTAGCCAGCGATGAGTCACCGAGCGCCAGATGTGATCACAAGGAAATCCCCCGACCACATCCACCGGCCAGGCCCGGGCCCCGGACATGTCAGGGTGATGCCACCGCACTAATGTCCTCTACAAAGACCATCCCCCGCTAGTCTTATCAATGGCTTTCACCCCTCGCCCCTCTCTGCCAATCCCTCCACTGCCTTCCATCCCGTCCTTCTCTGCCAATCCCTCCACTGCCTTCCATCCCGTCCTTCTCTGCCAATCCCTCCACTGCCTTCCATCCCGTCCTTCTCTGCCAATCCCTCCACTGCCTTCCATCCCGTCCTTCTCTGCCAATCCCTCCACTGCCTTCCATCCCGTCCTTCTCTGCCAATCCCTCCACTGCCTTCCATCCCGTCCTTCTCTGCCAATCCCTCCACTGCCTTCCATCCCGTCCTTCTCTGCCAATCCCTCCACTGCCTTCCATCCCGTCCTTCTCTGCCAATCCCTCCACTGCCTTCCATCCCGTCCTTCTCTGCCAATCCCTCCACTGCCTTCCATCCCGTCCTTCTCTGCCAATCCCTCCACTGCCTTCCATCCCGTCCTTCTCTGCCAATCCCTCCACTGCCTTCCATCCCGTCCTTCTCTGCCAATCCCTCCACTGCCTTCCATCCCGTCCTTCTCTGCCAATCCCTCCACTGCCTTCCATCCCGTCCTTCTCTGCCAATCCCTCCACTGCCTTCCATCCCGTCCTTCTCTGCCAATCCCTCCACTGCCTTCCATCCCGTCCTTCTCTGCCAATCCCTCCACTGCCTTCCATCCCGTCCTTCTCTGCCAATCCCTCCACTGCCTTCCATCCCGTCCTTCTCTGCCAATCCCTCCACTGCCTTCCATCCCGTCCTTCTCTGCCAATCCCTCCACTGCCTTCCATCCCGTCCTTCTCTGCCAATCCCTCCACTGCCTTCCATCCCGTCCTTCTCTGCCAATCCCTCCACTGCCTTCCATCCCGTCCTTCTCTGCCAATCCCTCCACTGCCTTCCATCCCGTCCTTCTCTGCCAATCCCTCCACTGCCTTCCATCCCGTCCTTCTCTGCCAATCCCTCCACTGCCTTCCATCCCGTCCTTCTCTGCCAATCCCTCCACTGCCTTCCATCCCGTCCTTCTCTGCCAATCCCTCCACTGCCTTCCATCCCGTCCTTCTCTGCCAATCCCTCCACTGCCTTCCATCCCGTCCTTCTCTGCCAATCCCTCCACTGCCTTCCATCCCGTCCTTCTCTGCCAATCCCTCCACTGCCTTCCATCCCGTCCTTCTCTGCCAATCCCTCCACTGCCTTCCATCCCGTCCTTCTCTGCCAATCCCTCCACTGCCTTCCATCCCGTCCTTCTCTGCCAATCCCTCCACTGCCTTCCATCCCGTCCTTCTCTGCCAATCCCTCCACTGCCTTCCATCCCGTCCTTCTCTGCCAATCCCTCCACTGCCTTCCATCCCGTCCTTCTCTGCCAATCCCTCCACTGCCTTCCATCCCGTCCTTCTCTGCCAATCCCTCCACTGCCTTCCATCCCGTCCTTCTCTGCCAATCCCTCCACTGCCTTCCATCCCGTCCTTCTCTGCCAATCCCTCCACTGCCTTCCATCCCGTCCTTCTCTGCCAATCCCTCCACTGCCTTCCATCCCGTCCTTCTCTGCCAATCCCTCCACTGCCTTCCATCCCGTCCTTCTCTGCCAATCCCTCCACTGCCTTCCATCCCGTCCTTCTCTGCCAATCCCTCCACTGCCTTCCATCCCGTCCTTCTCTGCCAATCCCTCCACTGCCTTCCATCCCGTCCTTCTCTGCCAATCCCTCCACTGCCTTCCATCCCGTCCTTCTCTGCCAATCCCTCCACTGCCTTCCATCCCGTCCTTCTCTGCCAATCCCTCCACTGCCTTCCATCCCGTCCTTCTCTGCCAATCCCTCCACTGCCTTCCATCCCGTCCTTCTCTGCCAATCCCTCCACTGCCTTCCATCCCGTCCTTCTCTGCCAATCCCTCCACTGCCTTCCATCCCGTCCTTCTCTGCCAATCCCTCCACTGCCTTCCATCCCGTCCTTCTCTGCCAATCCCTCCACTGCCTTCCATCCCGTCCTTCTCTGCCAATCCCTCCACTGCCTTCCATCCCGTCCTTCTCTGCCAATCCCTCCACTGCCTTCCATCCCGTCCTTCTCTGCCAATCCCTCCACTGCCTTCCATCCCGTCCTTCTCTGCCAATCCCTCCACTGCCTTCCATCCCGTCCTTCTCTGCCAATCCCTCCACTGCCTTCCATCCCGTCCTTCTCTGCCAATCCCTCCACTGCCTTCCATCCCGTCCTTCTCTGCCAATCCCTCCACTGCCTTCCATCCCGTCCTTCTCTGCCAATCCCTCCACTGCCTTCCATCCCGTCCTTCTCTGCCAATCCCTCCACTGCCTTCCATCCCGTCCTTCTCTGCCAATCCCTCCACTGCCTTCCATCCCGTCCTTCTCTGCCAATCCCTCCACTGCCTTCCATCCCGTCCTTCTCTGCCAATCCCTCCACTGCCTTCCATCCCGTCCTTCTCTGCCAATCCCTCCACTGCCTTCCATCCCGTCCTTCTCTGCCAATCCCTCCACTGCCTTCCATCCCGTCCTTCTCTGCCAATCCCTCCACTGCCTTCCATCCCGTCCTTCTCTGCCAATCCCTCCACTGCCTTCCATCCCGTCCTTCTCTGCCAATCCCTCCACTGCCTTCCATCCCGTCCTTCTCTGCCAATCCCTCCACTGCCTTCCATCCCGTCCTTCTCTGCCAATCCCTCCACTGCCTTCCATCCCGTCCTTCTCTGCCAATCCCTCCACTGCCTTCCATCCCGTCCTTCTCTGCCAATCCCTCCACTGCCTTCCATCCCGTCCTTCTCTGCCAATCCCTCCACTGCCTTCCATCCCGTCCTTCTCTGCCAATCCCTCCACTGCCTTCCATCCCGTCCTTCTCTGCCAATCCCTCCACTGCCTTCCATCCCGTCCTTCTCTGCCAATCCCTCCACTGCCTTCCATCCCGTCCTTCTCTGCCAATCCCTCCACTGCCTTCCATCCCGTCCTTCTCTGCCAATCCCTCCACTGCCTTCCATCCCGTCCTTCTCTGCCAATCCCTCCACTGCCTTCCATCCCGTCCTTCTCTGCCAATCCCTCCACTGCCTTCCATCCCGTCCTTCTCTGCCAATCCCTCCACTGCCTTCCATCCCGTCCTTCTCTGCCAATCCCTCCACTGCCTTCCATCCCGTCCTTCTCTGCCAATCCCTCCACTGCCTTCCATCCCGTCCTTCTCTGCCAATCCCTCCACTGCCTTCCATCCCGTCCTTCTCTGCCAATCCCTCCACTGCCTTCCATCCCGTCCTTCTCTGCCAATCCCTCCACTGCCTTCCATCCCCTGTCCCTCTCTGCCAATCCCTCCATTGCCTTCCATCCCCTGTCCCTCTCTGCCAATCCCTCGACTGGCTTCCATCCCTCTCTGCCATTCCCTCCACTGACTTTCTACTCTCTAGAAGGGGTGACAACATATAATGGGGGCAAGGGGAAAGGACCGGTAGCACGGGGGAAGAAGAGAGAGGACCGGTAGCCAGCGGAAGGGGAGAGGACCGATAGCTCAGAGGAAAGGGAGGGGATCGGGAGCACGGGAGAAAGGGAGGAGGACCAGTAGCCAGGGGGAAGGGGAGAGGGCCGGTAGCACAGGAATGGGGGAGAGGATCAGTAGCACGGGGGAAGAGTAGAGGACGGGTACCATGGGGGACAAGGGGTGGACTGGTAGCACGGGGAAGGGGAGGTGAAAAAGGGGACCGGTAGAACGGGGAAGGGGAGGTGACGGGGAGCACGGGGAAGGGGATTGGATGGTGGGAATGGGTCTTAAGAAGCAGAAGATATTTCCTCCTTGTATCATAGTCTGAGGTGGTTTTCCCCTCTGCTGTTATTTATAACGTATTTGGAGATTCAGTTAAAAGATCCAATTACATTTCAGAGCGGAGTTCGGCTTTAAGTTCGAGAATCCCCCCCGACTGGAGACGTCCTCGAAGCCACCAATCAGAGCAGAGGATGGAGGGTGAGCTCAGCACGGGTTCACTTCCTGTTGTGGTTGTAAAGTTTGGATTCTGCAGCCTGAGAAAACAAAGCGCGCGGGATACGGCTCCGCGCCCACAAATGCCGAATCAGCGCAATCCTGAGCAAATAAACTCGCCAAAAGGAAGCCGCATGAACGAGGAAAAAATCAGCATTTTCCAATCCAGAACTAGAGACTCGCCCGTCCAGGAAAAGTCAAATCCCACAATGACATCGGACAAGTGAAGTCCCGGAGTGCACGGCATCATGGGAAGCAATATGGGCGTTCTATTTAAAGGGGAACTACGCTCAAACACTGACTTTGACTGACACTATCCCTTGACTTTGGAGAGATTTCCCTTCACTTCCTGTTGCATCTCTGGGACAGGAAGTGAAAGCTCCCTGAGCTAATATTGTCTTCATACCAGAGTCATGCGTATTCTTGAATCTTGGTGAGCTTTGTGTATTTCTTCCAGATCTGTGCAGTAATCCTGTGTGAGACTTGGAGCTTCCTGTAATAAAGACCAGCCACTGCTGCTCTCTCTCCTTGTGCAGGGTGACTGGTCTTGTCTCCGCCCCCTCCTGTAATAAAGACCACTCCCTGCTGCTCTCTCCTTGTGCAGGGTGACTGGTCTTGTCCCCGCCCCCTCCTGTAATAAAGACCACTCCCTGCTGCTCTCTCCTTGTGCAGGGTGACTGGTCTGGTCTCCGCCCCCTCCTGTAATACAGACAGCTATCTGCTGCTCTCCCTCCTTGTGCAGGGTGACTGGTCTTGTCTCAGCCCCCTCCTGTAATAAAGACCGCTCGCTGCTGCTGCTCCCTCTCCTTGTGCAGGGTGACTGGTCTGGTCTCCGCCCCCTCCTCTATTTCTCTGTATTGGCCCCTCCCACAGCTCTGCTCATACCAAGATAGTATCCGGTTGTGCAAAGGCATTTGGTGCTTTTAAAGTGGATTTATATCCTTTGTGGCCATTGAGAAATATACTCCCTCCTCTATCCCAATAAAGTTCAGTCTTTGCACTTCAAGCATTTGAGGTCCACGTCACTGATGCTTCTATAACCCCAATGACAAGCCGGGGGTGGGGGGGTGGTGCCTTTCTTGCCCCCCGTCCCAGGAATATGGCCGCTAGGACGGGATCAGTGGCTGTGGTCACCCCGCAGGCTCTGCCAGCTCAGCAGTCTCGGGGTCAGCGAAGTGTTAACGTATCCATGCCGGGGATTAGGAGGGCAGCGTACAGACGGCAGCTGTCAGTGCGGAATCCCATCACCGCGAGATGTAATCCGCCATAACACAGCCGTGTAATGAGATCAGATGACACGGATGCTACAGGAAAGTCATCCATGGGGGCCCCCTCCCTAGTTTGGGAATTCATACACGGAGGGGGGGTCACCCATGGACGATGTAAAATGCGTTCCTTCTAAAGCTGATGGCGGATGGACGGCGTTTGCTGTGCGTCTTCCAGGGGCAAGAACCGGCAGGCACGTGCCAATGTGCAGACATCTCCCCGTGCTCCCCTCCCCCGCTACGTATGACCACCCTGATCCTAATAAAAGGTCCCAATTTCTGCAAAGCCAATGAGATAATATCGTCTTGTCTTTGCTGCTCCCGGGGCGATACAGACCACGGCGGCGTGAACCAACGGTCATAAAACAAGTCTCCGCAGGTCCTGACAGATGGTTGGGAAGCCATTACCCCGCCTCCCCCATGATCACAAATGCTGCTCAATGTGGGACCATAGCCGGTGTCACTGGTTCGGGTATCACATGATCACCTTGGGGGGGAAGGCGGCTTTATGAAAAATAAGGAGCGCGGGGGGAAGGTCAGATGAAGCCACATCGCAAGTTTTATGTCCCTTAAAGTGAACCCGGCAGCCATTTTAACCTTGAAGTGGCCAAAACATTAAAGTTCATCTCCGGGGCCCCACCCCCTGTATCAGCGGCCCCGTGAAACCAGAAGGCACCCAGACACCGGACATAAGTGAGTATATATCTGTACGTATGCTCAGAGGACGCATGTGCGAATGACCATTACCTGGGTGCTGCTGCGACCTGCCACTGATTTGTACGGGCGGCTTCAAGCAACACTTGTGACTTCCGGGCGCTGCGGCCATTTTTTACAGCGTTTGACCCTCTGAGCCCTTATTGGTTACCAAATAGGTCAGGCAGATGTTCTCTTCTATGTCAGACATGACTCCGCCCCCTGTGTTTTACCCAATCACAGGAGGTGGGCAACTCAAGGAGAGTAGGAACCTATACACCATATCTACACATATATACTAGGGATGCTCCGATACCGTTTTTTTCGGTATCGAGTAGCGATATTTTGTTTCCGGTACTCGCCGATACCGAGTACCGATACCGGTGCTTCCGCTGGCAAGGAGCCGGCTTCCTGATTGCCCGGGAACCGGCTCCATGTTGTTTGGCCGGCTTGATAACGATTGACCAGGAAACCGGCTTCCCAGCCAATCAGCATCGAGCCGGTTTCCTGGCAAATCAGGAAGCCGTGCAGTGAGTTATGACCCGCCTCCCTGATTGACCGGGAAACTAGCTTCCCAACTAATCGGCATTGAGCTGGCTTCCTGGCCAATCAGGAATCTGGGAGGCGGGTCATTACTCGCCGCCCAGCATCCTGATTGCACGGTAAGCTGGCTCCATGTTCCCCCATGGCACTGCCGGTCAGAGGAAGTCTTCTTCTGACCGGAAGTTCCGGTATCAGAGCATTTGGGCGCTCAAATACTCGGTATCGGCGCTGATACCAATACTAGAATCGGTATCGGTGCATCCCTAATACATACAATATAATGTCCCACCCTCCTGGACTCATCCACCTCCCATGATTGGGTGAAACGCATCAGGAGGTGGAGTCATGTCTTATGAGGTAGAAAACATCAGTCTGCTGTATCCTGTACATGTACAAGTTGCAGCATCTTCTGACTGGCAGCCCCATGAAGCTCTTTCTCGGGGCCCGGGGCCCCACGGCCTGTGTTGGGATTCATCGTACCCCCTCCTCACCTTTCGAGTGCTTTCCGGAAGGCCTCTTCGGTAGCGGATCTTCTATGGAATGTGCTGATGTATGTAGTGCATTTGCTAAGCTGTTAGCGACGCTCATAGCGGTGGTCTCTGTCCGCGGTGGCAGCTGTGGAAGACAATGCAACAACGTAAACGCTCGACGCAAAATTCCACGCCAAAGATTTGTCTCCGTTCATTACAGGAAAGTATAAAATGTACACAACGCTATACTTACCGGTCCCTGCACCCAAGGAGCTGACAATCTAAGGGTCCCCCATCCCATATACTACAGGCAGATCAGAGAGGAGCCAACTATCCAACTGGCGTGTCTGTCTGTGGAGGGAGGAAACCAATGGAAGTTCAGGGGGAACATGCAAACTCCATGCAGATAGCGTCCTGGCTGGGATTCAAAATAAAGGATTCCACTACTGCAAGGCAGAAGCGCTATTCACAAAACCCAAATGCTGCCCATGTACAGCTCTATAGTCCGTCTCAGAGGGAACAGCTTTACCCTGCCATGGCTGTCAGCAGCAGTGGCCCCAAGTGAGGGTATTGCCGTTTAGGGCCAGGCACCTGCTATGAATATTCTTCCCTGAATCGTGGTGAGCTGTGTGCGTTTCTTCCAGATCTGTGCAGTAATCCCGTGTGAGACTTCCTGTAATAAAGACCGGTCACTGCTTATCCCTCTCCTTGTGCAGGGTGACTGGTCTTGTCTCCGCCCCCTCCTGTAATAAAGACCGCTCACTGCTGATCTCTCTCCTTGTGCATGGTGACTGGTCTTGTCCCCGCCCCCTCCTGTAATAAAGACCGCTCACTGCTGATCTCTCTCCTTGTGCATGGTGACTGGTCTTGTCCCCGCCCCCTCCTGTAATAAAGACCGCTCACTGCTGATCTCTCTCCTTGTGCATGGTGACTGGTCTTGTCCCCGCCCCCTCCTGTAATAAAGACCGCTCACTGCTGATCTCTCTCCTTGTGCAGGGTGACTGGTCCTGTCTCCGCCCCCTCCTGTAATAAAGACCGCTCACTGCTGATCTCTCTCCTTGTGCAGGGTGACTGGTCCTGTCTCCGCCCCCTCCTGTAATAAAGACCGGTCACTGCTGATCTCTCTCCTTGTGCAGGGTGACCGGTCTTGTCTCCGCCCCCTTGTGTAGTGGGTGGGGCCTGCTGGACCCCTCCCACAGCTCTGCTCTCTGTACAGGCTATGTACAGCACAATGCTGATATCACTGCTACTATTACAAGGTAATATCTGGGTTTGTAAAGGCATTTGGTGCGCACAGAGTGGATTTCTATCCTTTCTGGCTATTGAGGAATAGATGTTTTTTAGGTTTTTGGGGCCCGGAGTTCAGCTGTACATCAGTTAGTGGTGCTGGTTCTGTTCATAAACAGCCTGGAGGTCCCAGCGGTCACACGCGGGGTTCCTGTCCCTGGCTACCCGTCAGGCTCGGGGTGAATGCTATGTATAGTACGCTGAGCCTGACTGCCAAATCAATGGCATTTCATCTTCCAGCAGCCGGCCGCTCCGAGCGATTACAGTCTCATCTTTCACCAAGGTCATGTGGGTTGCAGCGGTGACCGCATGCCGCGACAATCAATCTGCGTGGTCTGCTGGGTGCCACACGCGGCCCTGAAATGAATGGGGAGCGCCGTCATCAATGAAAAGTGACAACAGGGGGATATCTGACGTCTCCATTTAAAGGGGACGCCTACAGTATCAGCCGCCATGTTGGCTGTAGATGAGGCGATTGTCCGGCCACTTCAGGTCACACTCAACCGTCATAAGGACCACATGGATCAAGGGGCCCGACGCTGCGCGCTGGTGGCCGGCTTCCTTCATTCAACTCCATTGAATCCAACTTCAGCCAAACTGATACAAGCAGTAGAAGCACCTACATCTGACTTTGTATTAGCTTCCTACGGTCCCAGACTGAGGGAGGAAGAAGCACAGGGAGCCAGCCAATCAGCTGCACCACACTGCAAGGAGCATGCCGAGAAGAGGAGAAAGCAGGGTGACATAGAGATGAGCTCCAAACATTACCGATAGGGATGTACCGATATATCGGCCGAAAATTGCACTTTTGGCATAATGCCGAAAGAGCCATGCTTCAGCCGATACATCGGCGCATTCCTGGTTTCTTTCCTCCCCACTGGGCGCTGCTCTGTGTTCCAGCGGGGAGAAAAGAAAGTGACAGCCGGCCGAGCGCAGCGGGACGAGAGCGCTGTGAGCGGCCGGCGTCTCTCCTCCCACACCGCTCAGCCGCCTATCACAGGCCGGCAGAGCGGTGTGGGGGCGGAGACAGCGCTGTCACAGGAGGCTGGGCTTTCCTCCCTATACCGCTCGATCAGCCTCCTGTGACAGCTTGTCAGAGAGGAGAGCAATGTACACACACTCGGTGATCAGTGATCGCCGAGTGCGTGTACATAATTGGGGACATGGTACGTTAACTATCCTCAATTATGAATGAATGGGAAGTGATCTACCTCACATCTACATCACTTCCTGTTCATTCATAATTGTAGTTATAGTAAACAAACAATGTTCTCATGTTATGAATGGACAGGAACACTCAGTATAGAGGATTCCTGATCATTGATAACAGGGAACATAGAAAAAGAGAATGAGGACTCTGTGTTCTCAATTTCTTTTTCTATTTTAAAAAGGGAAATATCAGGGGACTGTTTAGACCCCCCCCCCCCCCACCCCCCAATATTTCCCGAAGCCCCTAAAAGTAAAGTAAAACGTAAAAATATTTAATACAAAATTAATTAATACATAAAAATAAATAAATATAAAAAA